CTTCCAGTGTCTGATGAAAGTACCAGTACATCTGGATTGAGCTCCTACACAGATTATCTATGATGGTTTCAGCCACTCAGTGAGGCCCTATGCAGGTTCTGAGTGCTTGAGCTGGTCTCCTTCATCAGACAGCATTATGTAAAGAAACATGATCCATTCCTGGCCCTATAAAACCATGTAAAATGAGAGAGGACCTCTAAAGAAGGTTCTTGAAAGGCACCTCGGGGTTTTTTTGCTTATCACCAGTCATCCCTTCTGGACATCTTTTCCTGACATGATGCTTGTCCCCAGATGGAGATGTGTTGGTGGCATGGCACTGCACAATGAAGGGCATCTGTTTCCTGCCTGACAGTTCAGGGATGTCTGTAGCCTGATATGAGGCTCTCCCTCTGTGACTTATTTCTCTCCTGAAGCGTTCCCACTGGTAATGTAAATGTAACAACATTTTGTTCAAAGGGCCTATGACCAGCATTATTTTGTAGGTTTCTTTCACTTGCTGCATCCTGTCCTGCACTCTTCCAGCAGCTGTGAGCAGATAGCAGGGTTGATCCAAACTACCTCCACCAGAAGCTCCTCTTTATCCTCCCCAGGTTCTTGTGGGAAGACTCCTCTAAGCACAGATTAAATCAACATCTGAAGAGCATCTGAGTCTTGGGCAGCTGCTTCTCTCTGTTAGAAACTTGGCTGGGAGAGGAACTGAAGGCAGTCAATGAACAGAACTGACTCTGGTCTGGATCCAGGTCATGAAAGCTCTGCCTGTTTTCAAAAGCCCTCTCTTACAAACAAGTAATGGAGAGTCTCTAGGGCAAAAGATAGAATTTCTTTCATTGCTATTAATAGTTGCTTGGAATTTAAAGTCCTGCAGCAATTATGTGTCTTAATGCTGGATCATAAGCGTGCTTTCTGGCACCTGCCTCTCTTAGGAGCTCTGTGTCTTCAAAGGCTGAGTAAGTCAGACAGGAGAATAGCTAATTGGGCATGACTAGAAATAGCATGAAAAGCTTAGTAAAGGAAATGGCATTCCTCGTGGGGATATCCATGAGGCAGCATTGTGAAGGAAGTGGTTGAAAGCCATGAAAGTTGTGTCATGGCAGGCTGAGTTGAGCAAAGCACTGAGGCAGGGAATGATCATGGACTGCTCACAGATGACCCCAGGGTCCAGTGGCTGGATGGAAATTCCTGGAGCCCCATGAAACCCTCACTTTTCAGTGGCCAAGCGGGGGGAACATTCTTCAAAGTCTGGGTACAGCTAAAGTCTATCACTAGGTGATCCTTCTGGAGTTGTCAGCAGGGATTTCTGCTGCCTCTGCCTCAGTTCAGCCCCCTCCCAGGCAGAAGGGTTAGGGTCAGTTGTTAACCTCTGCTGGCCTGCACTCCTCCAGAAGGCTGAGAGGCACAGGCTGCTGTGTATATGAAATTCTCAGTCTCTGAGGAAAAGGCACTGCCCAGACCAACCATTGCAGCTCTCCCACCCCCAGCTATCCCACAGCTTTGTTCCCACGTTGTAACAGCAGAGAGGAAACAGTGACCTAGACCAAAGGCATTGCTGCTACTTACTCACTTCGGCCACCAAACTCCCCCTTCCAGAGTTTTGTGGAAAGGTGGATTTTTCTGCAAGTCTCAGCTTTTTGGTTCTCATCTGAGGGAAGCTCACTGGATGTGGGACCTGCCTTTTGGGTGGATGTGCTCTTTCTTTTATCTTCAGGTTGGAGATGCCTTCTAAGATCGGTGCATATAATGAACCAGACAAGCTGTGAGGCTTTTATTAATGAGAGAAGGGAATTTTACCCTTCATAGCCTTCAAGAATAATTATACTTCATGTTACACATGTATTTCCACCCTGTATGAATTTTCTTATTTTGAAATGAGCATGTCCAAACAGAGCTATACTGGTATTTTTAGCATTATAATTATGTTAGTAAGTTCTGAGTAAAGACCAACTTTTAGACATCAGGGTTATTTTGTAGGGTGAAAAGCATTATTACAGATAATGGTTATCTTCTGATTGCTAGCAATCTTGTGTAGTCTTATTCTATTACTTTTTTCACAGTATCACTTTTACAGACTCTTCCAGAGTTAGCCTTAATTATTTGAGAACCCAAGAACCTTTTTCTTTGCCTCACATCTGAAATACACAACTTTATTTTACAGGCTGAATTTTTTGCCAATCACAAGTGCAATCTGAAAACATGGCAGTTCTGAAAAGTAAGTGAAGAATTTCATTACATACAAGGCCCTTCAGAGAGGATATGAAACATGTAGCTGTCCCCACAAGCCCAGCAGCACCACACTTAATAATTTAGGCTCAACATTATGGTCAATATATTTTGCAAATGGCAACAGCTTATGCCATGTGAGAGGGAAGGGAAGGGACATTTCCTAGCAGAGTGCCCTTATGTACAAGCTTAATAAAGACACCTTTAGAAGGACTCTGTCATTAATTAGAATCACAATTCCCCCCAGGATATTGATGCAGGCTGTGCTTGCAATGTGTGCAAAACCATGACTCTTGGAAATACGTTTGGTGAAGCAAACAAGAGACACGCGGCATCCTGAAATTCTCCACCTGAGGAAAAATCAATGTTGCTTTCCTTAGAGTGCTTACAGACATCAGCACCCAGGAGCCAGGAAACCTTGTGAAAGCAAGAGCAATAATTTACCAGATCATCTGGTAAATTATCTGTATTCCAGCATGGACAAAAGGTCAGTTTAGCTGGGCAGTGTGCACACGGATTAATGCCCAGCAGCGCTGGACCAGGGTACATCTGCACAGTCACATTCCTGCCCAGGCTTAAGTGAACCTGAGATGGTCCCTGCTGATCATCTAAAGGGCTTCAGGAGCCCAGCAGCCCCCAGCCCTCTGGCAAGGCTGAGGTACCATATGACTGTCTGCATCTGACCACGTAGACACTTCCTGTGGGATGGGACGGGCTGTGCTGGCATCTGTGTACAGCACAGCCTGTGATGAATGCAGCCAGAAAAGCCAAGCAAAGGATCCTTCTTTTTTAGAGGCAAAGGCTCATGCTTAGTCTCAGAGTTGTCTCATTTCCCATCCATTCCCCTTGGTCACCGTGGAGCTCTAACAGGGAGCCTGGGCTGCACAAACAACTGGTTCCCAGTACACAGCCATCTCATCCTTGGCATATTTTTAGTGAGAGGAGAGGCAGTTCATACCAAAGCCACAGAGTCAGTAGTCTGATTCTAAAGTTCTTCTTAAACAGTGATCTAAAAAAAGTTTCAGTCACCCAAAATTCCCTGCTTTTTTCCCAGTTACATTCAATGGCCTCAAGGAAAGTTTGTTACTTCTCTCCAAAATCTGCCTTCCCAAAGGGCAAAGGAAAATCTCCACTCCTCTAAAGAGCATCCACCAAAAGCCCTCATTGAATAAAGGAGCTTTTTTAAGGGAGTCAGTAGGAAACTGAGAAGAATAATTTAAATTTACTCCATTCTGTGGCCCATGTGGGGCCTGCTGGGCTTTGCAACACTTGAAGGTCAGTGTTGGTGCGATTTTTTTCAAGAGCCTAGCAAAAAACATTTCTTTCCAGCAGAATCCAGGAGACAGGACTCCAGTAAGAAACTTCTGCACACTGGGCTCTTCTCAACAGCAAAGATGCCTTTCTAGAACCCTGACTCATCTGCCCAAGAGCTGTCCTGACTGTCAGAGTAGAGTCTGCTTGGTGAAAGAAGGGAGTGTGCAAGATGTGCTCTTGATCCATCTTGTTGGAGCTGGCCACACTGCATAAATTAATTCACCACTGAGCAGGAGTTGTCTTTCTGCAGTCCAGTGGCCCAGAGACTTCATGAGGGACAGAGGTGCCAGTTTCAGTGACTGCTTCAGGCCCTTAGACAGAGCTGGGAGAAATGATGGTACTGGAAAAAGAAATTGGATTTTAGCCTAGGGCCATATTGTGAACACTGGATCTTGTATCTGCTGAAGTAGAGATGGGTTCAAAACAAAAGGCAAGAAGAGCTGTGAGGAGAGCCCACCACCTCAGCAATAGAAATGACAATAAACAATGGTTATTTCTTCCCTGTTACAGGTTTTGCAGGATGTCCTAATTACCTTGACATTATTAGTGCGGAAGTTGTGCTCTATCCACCCACTAAGTACAGGAAACATGCCCAGTGTGTAATTCTATCCTTCACCTCGCATGCCTCCGATGGGCTGGAGTCTGAGAGGAAACTGAATAGCCTGGAAAGGTTAGCCAGAGACAGAGAGAAATTAACCCTTTCATTTTCACTGACTGCCCTTTATTTTCTGAAAGTAGAATTGGTGGGTGGAGCACAGGTGTTGCCTTGGAGGGGATTAGAGAAATCTTTTAATGTTAGATCCACCAGTTTCTCAGAATCACAAGGGGTGTTTGTTGTGCAGCCTGTTTATTTCAGATATGTTCAGTAATTGAGGAAAATTTATTATGGTTTATTTCTTACTGGTTATTTACTATCATGTCACTAAGGCTGAAATCAAGGTTGTAACTTCACCATGTCAAACTGGGAACAGAGACACTGCACAGAGCAAAGAGCAAGTCTGATGTATGGCATGTAACAGATGAAAGAGGAAGAGCTACAGAAGAGAGGCTGTGGTCATTGTCTTTATTTTTCCTAAATATGCAAATTTAAAGGAAATATTAATAGTCAAAAGAGGCCTTACAATTGTGGACTAATTATTTCCTCTCCATGCCCTGGTTGGAATGGGTGTCCAGCAGAGCAGCAGCTCATGGAGCCTCTGCTCATTCTGAGTGGATATATACAAACCCACCTGTGGTCCTGTGTCTGAGCTCTCAGAGGTATTTGCACATAAAAGGGAGGTGCAGTCTGGGTAGCTGGTGAAAGAGTAGACACAGGTGGAGAAGGTACTATGGGGAGGCACAGGACAACAACAGGTGAATTCTCTTGGTGCAGATGAGTGTTTGAGTTTTGGCATTGGAAACAGTAGGAATATATTAATTAAGGCAAGAGAGGCCACAGAACAACAAGCAAGAAAACTGTAAGTTAAACACAAAGGTTGAGCTGGCTTGTGTGCATTTCAAATGCTGGTCTAATTTGTATCTATAGGACAACAAGGATTAAATGGAGATAATCCCTTTACAATGGTGTAATTGGTACAGGTGAGTCAGTTAGCATCAGGATTGTGTAAGTGTAGAAATAATTGTTTAAGTAAGTCATGGCAAAGGGATTGAAGGAAATGCTGGAGAGTAGAGCAAGATGTGCTCATAGAAATGTTTATTCCCTATTAGAGCCACTTGGAAAGAGGTAAAGAGCAAGTCAGAATAACATTACACTATCTTATTTGCACACTGAGTTCAGGAACACAGAGTCTCTGCACAAGAAAAAAAGAATTGGCTACATTTATATTAATAGAGTGAAAAAGAGCTTTGCCTTTCACTGTTCATCCAGCCTTGATTGTCCATGAAGGAAAGGGCAGGTCTATAAATTTTGTGCATATAGCTATGAAGTGTCACTGCAGTGCTCTGAAGTCTCCCATCTGTGAGGGGCCTGCAAGGGCAGGGATGCTTTTCATGGTCCATTTTGAGGACTGCCATAGGAGGGACTTGCTATGCAGGAGACTTGGCTTTTGCTCTCATTTGTTCTGTGTGTTTCTCAATCAGACATAAAATCATTCTGCTTGAAATTGCCCATCTGCTCTCTGTGATTCAGGACAAAGTTACTAAAAAATCAATACAGATCTTTCTCCCCTCCCTACTCATTACTGTGTACTTGAAAACTACAGTCAGGTCTGAAAGCAGATTTCTATTTGCATTTAAGCACTTCCCTGAAATACTTGCTGTAGTAAAGTAGGAAATGAGGGAAGGGGAAAATGCAAAAGTCTGAAAACAGTATGAATCCTGACAACTACAGGTCTGAAAGTGTTATAATTGAGTTGTTAGTGGCTTAGATCTTTTCTCAGCAGCAATTTCACAAAACTAGACATTAGGTTTACATGGAATGCTCACTTTGAAACCATGATTTGGATGACTTGTCATGTTATGATTTGTGGGTGACTTCTTTGTTTATTTGTTTCTTAAGGAAAATAAGTAAGAATTTTTTCTTTATCCCACTTGAGAAGATTCATGTTGGAAAATTAAGAACTTGATAGAAAAAGTGTAACATTTCTGAGCTCACTGAATTCCTCTGTTATGTTTTCCATACCTCTGCTGATACTGCAAGTAAGGATGCTTAGAAAAGGGGTAGAAGGAGACAGCTTGGTTATATTCCCCTTCTCCAACTTTTAAAAATATCCCAGTATTGTTTTGAGAAATCTGCAGGCTAAGCACCTTCAGATGATTCAGCTGACAAATTAATTTCCGTTTTCAAATTTATTACTGTGAAAGGAAAAAATGCAGTTTTCTGGTTGCAAACTTCTTTTAAGGACAAGTGACTCTTGCTTATTTTGTAACATTTGTATTTGCATTTGGGATCAATTGCTCCTGTCATCAGGTGTCTGGCACAACTGGAATAACAGGCTCCTTTCTGCCAGTTCCTTTTACTGATTTGGCAGAAAGAGCTGCTGCCAGTAGTTGCAGCAGGTCCTGGAGGTCACATTTGTTTTCCTGCTCTTCCCTTCCAGCAAAATGGGCATCAGAGGGATGAGTGCTGAGGAAGTGGTGTGAGGAGGTGACACGGCAGCTTCTTGATGGCACCGAATGAGTGCCCTGGGATTATCCCCTAATTGAGGCCTCTGGGCTGGCGGAAGATGATGTGGTGCAGGAGCAGGAGCATGAAGGAGGAATGCAGGAGGTTTTGAAGGCTGATAATGTTTTCTGTGAAGCCTGGAGAACAAGCATAATAGGTTTTCACCAGACACCAGGGAAAAATAATATTTTAAAGCCAAGCAAACAGCTGGCTGACCCAGGAAGGATAATTAGCAAAGAGCAAGGTGCACTAAGGCCCAGCTTGCATTATGCTTTGACAGAGCCTAGCTTAAATTTCTCCACTTCACTCTGTTTCTGTTCTCTTATCTTGGCCCTATGTATTTTGGGGCCTGTTTGAGCTGCCAGATCTGAACACAGTCTAGTTAGGACATTTCAGCACAGATCAAATAAAATTCCTTACTTCCCCCTCCCATGACCCTTGCTGTGACATTTACAGCATTGAAGTAAATTGTTATTTTAAGCTGCTTCTGTACTTCCCTGGAACCCAGCAAGGGGAAGGAGCCTCTTTACATGATGGCAGCAGGGGAGTTAACTTTCCAGTAAAGCCACAGAGATTCAAATAAGTCCAAATTGTTATTAGTCACCTCAGGATCAGATCAGCCAGTGGCCATTTTAGGAATCCACGAGGGATTTTTTTCCAACCCTCTCTCCACTCCAATGGTAAAGTCACAACCTGCTTGAGGCTATGCTGGCTGTGCACAGTCTGGGCTCAGCCCTGGCTCCTCAGAGCCTGACAGGTAAAAAAGAACTACAATATTTCACTAATTCCTTACAAAAATTAGATTAGCCCATCCCTCTTCATAGCTACCAAGTGCTTGAAAAGATTGGGAAAAAACAAATAAAGTCTTTATTTACTAGCAATTTACTTCCCAGGAAGAGTACTTAATGGGCATGCAGAGAAATTGTGACACTTCTGGCTGGGGGTGAGATTCCCTGTTGCTGGATTTTTCTCTTCTTTTTGCAATGTCCTCACCCTGGGGAACCTCTAAAGGCCCAGATTCTGTAAAAGGTGGAGAATCCTGTTAAATCAGCACTTGTGTAAAAGCCTGGCCCTGGGCACCATGCAGGGCTGGGAGTACACAGCAGTGGGAAAGCTGTTTTCCCTCTCTTCCCTGGGGATGAGACCAGGGCACCCAGCCGGTCTGCACTGCAGTCCAGCAGTGGACTAAGGGGTGTGTGGGCTGCGTTGTTTTGAGCTGCTTTGAGTTAAACTGAGCCCTGTAGAAACAAAAGCCATTTACTCCCACCAAACCATGGTCCCACACCTGACACTTGATCTCTGTGGCAGTGAACTCCCCAAATCTCCTGGAGCCAGGCTGTCATCTTGGCTGGTCTGCCCACTTATGTCCTTCACTTGCAAGGGAACAGCTGATAGTGGAGTTAACTATGTGCTCCTAATTTTCTCATATTAATAAATTCCTGCTTCCTCCCACGTCAGCTTTTCCTTTGTCGTCATCACATTCCCCACTCACTGTCCAGCCTAGTCTCAGCCCTCTGTTCATCAATATTCTGCTATTATTAGCTGGCCCAGAAATGCATGTTATAGCACTGGTGCCACTAGAGCTGCAGGGTGCATTTTTCTGTATTATTGACATCCTTCTCTCTGCTGTGAAAATATCACCTTCCTGTTCTCTGGCACTTTCAGTCTGTAGTGTTGGTAAGGCAGAAACATCTTTGATCCTGCTTTTGACCAGTCCCCTTTCCCTGCCACTAGGAGAAATGGTGATGGCTTAACAAAGAGTGTGATGGAAGTAGAAGTGGGTTTGTGGTGTCTGGGGTAGATGGGCTCAAAACAGGCTGACCTGGCCCCAGAGTGCACTGGCCCCAAAGCTGACAACTAGAAATAATTGTGTTTGTTCGTGCAGGGCATCTTATGCTGACTGCCCTAAAGATGGGCGAATCCCCCAGGGCTCAGAAATGTGGAGAACTGAGAAACCTTTATTACTTTGTTGCTGAAGTAGGTATTTTCAGTAGTAGTTGTATTTCTTTTCTTATTAAAGGCATGTGTAATAACAATAACCAGCTTCTTTACTAGAGGTGTTGAGGACAGCTGAGATCAGAATAATTATTTTTAAGTAGAAGATATGGTCACTTTTATGTGTGAGCATGGTTCCATTGCCACTTCTGTTTCATCCACTCTACTGAATTTAGCTCTTGACTTCTCAAACACTTTGCTCTAGCAGTTCTGGAGCTGTTGTTTAGGCAGGTTAATTGTTAAAATCTGCCCTTCTAGACTTATTTAGCTGGAAAAGTGTCCCTCATGCATGAGTTTGGCTGCTGGAAGCAGGGACTACAGGCTGAGACTTCATTGTCTTCACAGGCATTACCAACCTGGTTGTTTTGATTTTCTTTTCTTATGCTTTTCAAACCCTTTTCTGTTCTAAACTACACCCATGGGAAAATATTTACACTTGGGGCTTTCCTCAGTAAGGGGTGTTTTTCAGAGCTGGTCATTTCTCTGGTAATACCTCTTCTTCAACTGAAAAGGAGAAAATTGCTTTTCAAATGAAAAGTCCACAGGATGTAGTTCCAGAAAGAGGCTTGACAACCTTCACACACTTTATAAAATGTTTCTCAGCAAGATATAAATCTCTCTTCCTTGTTGCCGTTAGACTCCTGCCACAGCCATATGGCACACAGGCTCTTGGATCCGGTGCTAATCTGCTCTGCCCTGTGCCAGCTTTACTCCTGGTGCAGCCCTGGGGCTGTGGGGACACAGGGTACCACTGCAGGGAAGGCTGAAGGGAGGGAGCAGGCACTGCCTGTCCTACTCAGATATCTGCAATTTCAAGGGGCTGTTCCCTCAATGCAGCCTAGAGGTCTGTGGCTCTTGTCATAGTGCAAGGCATTTTAGCAGCTACCCATCACCAGACAGAAAATCTTTTTTCCCCCTGCAGTCCTGGTCTTTGTCACCTTACAACAGCTCCTTGAATGCTTTGAATGAGCTGGTTAAATTGTTATGCTAGAAAATATCTGCTCCTCCCTTTTTAGAAATTTTATTTTATTTCACATTCTTCTGATCTTGCAGGGCTAGCAAGCTGGATCAGCTAGAACATATAGCTGGACACTGAGAGAGGAGCAGGATCTGTTCTGTTTAGGCTCACCCCACACTGTGGGGCCCCACCTGACATTTGTCCCAATGCCTTGGTTGTCAGGTGATGCTACTGCAAGGCTGTGGATCATTGCATGAACCAAGCAACGACTGAGGTAAATGTCCCACCAGGGTTTGGTTCTGCTTTGCAGATCCTCCCTGACAGCAAGGAGCAATGTAGTGTGTGCTGGTGTCTGCTTCTCCAAGTCTGGGCCCCGGAGAGCTCATGGACTTGCACTGGCCAGTCTCTGCTCCTTGGAGATGAGGACAGATGCTGGCCAGTGCTCTGCTCTCCAAGAACCTCTTGACACTGCCTTTCGTCATGGTGAATAAGCATTGGCTGTGGTATTGGCACCTTTCCTGTAGACCTGTAAGACTCACAGTGACTCCAAATTAATGCTGCTGTTCTCAGATGCTTGTGTTGCACTCATCTCACCTTCCCTCTGACATCTATTCCTGCAGCTCTCTGGGCACATGTGGCTTCTGCAGTCCTCTGGCCTTTTTCTTTTTTCCTAGTGTAGCCTCAGGATGGGGAGGTGAGGACATTGTGCATCTCTGTGAGACTGCTTGGTGCAGGATCTCCCAATCATGCATGACAGAAATGGAAAGCTGTCACTTGATAGCTGCCTGGAGGAACAGGTCTTACTGATCCAACTGACCGTGAAGCTGAAGAGGTTAAAAATTAGCCCAGCAATAATATATGGGACTGTTTGACTTTCTGCTGGTTTTGTAAGTAGTATCAGTGTCATTCCAAGCAACCTGAAGTGGGAAAGGGCAGGGGGAGAGGGAGGAATGGGGTGGAGATGGGCAGGAACTAGAAATATTTGTGGCTTATTATATCAAACAAAGAAAGCCTTTGATTTTTGTAAAGGGAGAGATGCTTTGGTCATGCTCTTCTGCATATCTCTCTTGAGAGGGTTTTATAGATGTTTTCTTCCATTACACCAAAGGTATACTGATCCACTTAATTTACAGTGCCAAAAATGATGATTCTTCTCTTTACCATTCCTGAATGTCCTCAAAGGACGCAGACATGAAGAGGGAACTTTTTTGAACATTCCTGCCATGCAATGACCAGGTGATTTCTCCTTATTTCAAAAATGCTTAACATAGTGAGGCACCTTAAGCAAAACCATGAGAGATGGGGCACAAAAATTCATTCCCCCACCATGGTTCATTTTCACTCCACAGGTAACCTGGCCCCATCTCAAGCAGAGACCTGCCTGTATTCCTGAGACCTTGATGATGTTGTGCTAAGCTGTGTGTGTCTGGTACAGAACCTCTGGTGCTCAGAGACTGTGTGCTTATTTTGCAGCCACTTGGCTACCATGCAGGAGCTACAGGAGATGCATTGGAGAATTACCATTATTTTCATTTCATATTTGGAGAATCACAAATTATTTTCATTTCATTTTCCTGTCTGCAGTCACAGGGTAAAAGAGGTAAGGTTCAGTCCCAGGTTCTGCACTCTACAGCCAACCAGGTCATCTGGTCTGGACTAGGAGCACACTCTGGCCTGTCAGAAGTTTCTCTTCTGTGTATGGCAAGAGCCACTGATTTTAATTTGAGTCAGAACATGAGTTAACTGTGCAGTGGAGAAATATACCCTGAGCAGCTTCTCAGGATGTCATAAGTCTACAGTTGTGGGAAACAGGGTGGTAAGACTTGAATTTCTGGTGTTAAAAATGGAGAGGAATGATATTGCAGGTTTGGTTTTGTTTGTTTTTTTTTAATTCATCAAAAAGAAGTCACCTTGAAGATCACCTTTTAAGAATTCTTTGGCTGTTCCTGACCAGATGATGTGTGAGAAGTAATACTGTTTTCTGTGAAAACAGCTCTGTAAAGAAGAGAGCACAGGGAACAGAAGAGTTGGGAAGAAAAGAGAAGATACAAGTTCCTGTGCTGAAAGACCTAATTATGCTGGACCAAGCACAAAATCTATTATGGGGTTATTAATTGCTTGCACCATTTATGTACTCACACATTTCACCTGCTCTTTCCTGTGGGAGTCAAACACCAGTAATGTTTTCCATCCCGAACTGGATGTGATGCCAAACTACCAGGAATTTGCAAGGAGCAAGACTGAGCTGTGTTAAGCCAATGACTTAAAAAGAAAAAAGCCACACAGGAAAACCAGATTATGAGATTTGCCACCATTCGATTTAAAAGTCATCCTTTCCTGTTGTTCCTTGAGCACTGGGCTTTCCAAGTTCACCATTCTTTCCTGGGACAAGTGACTCATGAACCTGATAGGAAAATGCACCTGTTTTTAGCCAGAGGTTAAAGCAGCTCTCCAGTTACCAGAGTAAACAAAGGATTTATTTCTGTCCTTAGCAGTTACCCTGCAAAGCCCAGGAATACAGGAAGGCTGGCAGAAGCCACTAGGTTTGAGCCAAGTTTGCTGAAGTCAGTGGAAGGTTTGTGATGTCCATAGTAAGATGCTCCTAGATGCCAGTGGGATTTGGCCCATGTCTTTTGCTAGAGGGGAAATGGAAAAATAAAGAGTTGGTGCAGTGATTGTGCTGGCAGCCAAGGACTCCAGGGAGCTGGAAGGTGTCTGCCACGGTGTGGGATACACATTCCCTTCTCTGACCCAAGAGTTCATCTGCATCTGTCGTCCTGGCAAAAGAGCAGCTGTCAGTCACAGAGGTGGGATGGGTATCAACACATTCAAGACTGAGACTGATCAGACACTGCAGTAATGGCAACCATGCAAGTGGCTAAAATATTTGGAAATCAGTGTTGGATGTATTGGCATCATGGAAGCTGAAAGGTTTTATGAGCCAGGAGTCACTTCTTAATCCCAGCATGAGAAATGGGATGTGTTTGTTCTCCACTATGGAGATCATTGAAAAATGCAAACACAACATTAGCTTGTTTCAGGTCAGCACTCAACACAGTATAAAAACAAGATGGATTTTAGCCTTTATTTAACTGGATTTAATTATATGCATGAGCCTCAAAGTGCCTAAGGCCTAACGGATGGTGACCTAAGGTCTGATTAAAAAGGCAACAACACCCTAAGCCTTAAGCTTGTTTGTTAGGCCATATGCATGACTGGACCATGCAATGTTTCAGGCAGACATGCTAGGAATAAAGAACCCAGGGCATCCAAAGCATTTGCCAAATTTCTACCTTTACTCAGAAGAATCTGAACACTGATTTTTCCTGCCCTCTGTACCAGCATGGCTCAGGAGCTTGGCTAGGATGGAAAGGTGTCAGTGTTTCCAACCACACCTTCCTGAAAAGTCTGCAGTGCCCTGGGAGAGCATGTTGACACTTGGAAAAGAAATTGGCCACTTGACTTCTCAGTTTGGGAGATCCGTGTGGCTGGAAAATTCCAAATAACCAAATATCAGGAAAAGAGGCAATCACCAAAGGCTCATCTTAATTTATTTTTTATTTATTATTAGCATGACAGATATTGTGACAGTCATCTATTTGTATTTCTGTGATTGATTTCAGAAATTGATTTCAGAGAATCCTGTTCTTGGGTATGGATAAAGTACAAAATCTCTCTTTTTCCTTTGGATAGCACAACACAGCTTTGTGTCATCTCTGTAAAGGACACCAGCCCTTAGCAGCCTCCAGGAATCACCTCAGTGGGCTGACTGATGTCCACCTGCTTGGTCTCTGAACACAGCGCAGAAATGTCACATCCACATCCTCCTTGCTGCTGAGTGCCACCAAGACACAGCGTGGCAAGGACACCTGATGGGTTGTGCTGGCTCTGTGCCAAGCAGGGTGAGATTTGCTGCCTGTTGTGTGCAGCACTGCACCCATCTATGGCTGGGGCATGGTCCTGGGGTGCCTCCAGTGCCTGACCATTGTCTGCCAAGGAGACCCAGCCCAAGGTCCATTGATGTTGTTTGCTGGGCTGAGATTCCAGCTGGTGGTTTTGCTGAAGGGTCTGCCCTCAGTGCCTCAGCCATGGGATCAGAGAAGGAGCAGCACAAACACAGGGACTGGGGCAGGACATCCTGATCAAGTCACAGTGGCCTCAGCCTGGTCCTGTTGAAGGTGTCATGAAACTGCCCTATAAGTCTGATCCTCATTAAAGAGTAATTCAGCATTCCAGAGCGAGCAGCTAAACAACAAATTTAATTTGATTTTCTACTATGTCCTCTCTCTCATGTGCTCTTATTCATTCATGGACCCCATTAACTCTCTGTCAGCCTCCTGCTTCTGCTGTGGGTAAAAGTGTCCCATCATTCCATTTTATGCTTTTAGTGAGTTGCTTTTCATTTTCTTGTACTTTATTGTTGTTTCACATCCACTTTGTCAAACTGTGTTCTTTCGCATCTTCCTTAACTCCCTGTCTTAAAGAGAAATTATTTTTATATCTCAGAAGTGTCACATGGTTTAATCATGTTGGTTTATTTTTTCTTTCTGCTTTGAATATTTTTTATTTGATGAGGAGTCTGCTGTATAGTGTCTCTAAACAATTTGATGTCATCTAAAAGTGCTTTACTAGTTTTAGCTACTGATTTCAATGAATTTCATCACTTCTATGTGATTTCCCTTTTTAAAGCCAAACATTTAGCTTGATATTCAATCTTTGTAGCTCTTCTGTCTTCTTGCTTCTGAGAACCTGAGTCTCTTTCATCTTTCTCTCTCTGGCATGAACTGTTCTGACATTTATACTGTTTAAACCTGGTATAATAGGACTTTACTAATTAGCTTTTTCTAGAAAGTTTCCCAGATACATAGATTGCCCATATACTTTGAATTTCAGCACTCTAGTTCATAATTTCTTACTTTCAGATCACAGCCATTTGTACCAAAATGGTTTTAAGAGTGGTTGTGGACTAGCAGCAAATTTTTGTGTGCTTTGTGTGTGTGTGCATGTGCATATTACTTAATTAGGGCTTCATTTACAGAGACCTGTTTTTTCTGTTTCTACTTATCTCCATTACTTTCTATCCTACCCTTTTTCTTAAGAGAGGTTTGAGAGCTTCAACCAAACTGAATTCTTCCACCTCTCCCTTACCTGTCTTAAATTTTTTAACTCTGACTCCATTAATTCCCAGATCCTTTCTGTCTAATTTACATAGATGTCCTTTTTCCTACGTATGCTTCACTTTTCCCTATAACTTTCCCCTTTTCTAATAAACTCATCAATGCCTATAACAATAGTCTTGCAAACTTCAAACATTTATTTTGCATACATAAAACTATTTAATATTACTTATCATTCATCTCCAGGTTTTGAAGTGCTCTCCCATGCTGCTCACTTGTGCTCTTCCTCTTGCCACAGTTAATAGCACAATCAGTCATGCTGGAAAGTTACACCCAACCAATATTAGGAAATGCTCCCTCCTGCCTTGTAAATCCCTGGTGCCACCAGCAAGAGTGGAGGAGGAGGTGGAGGGGGCAGCATTCCAAGCATATGGACTCTCAGGCAAGGGAAATGAAGCCGGCTTTGTCACACATGCTGCTTATCATGGTCACATTTACTCATGGTGAAATCTTTCCCACTGAACAACGGCTGGGATTCTCACCATTTGCTGTTCCAGTGGGAATTTCGTGCTCCTTGGAGATATCACCCTCATGCTGCATTTTCACAGCACCACTCAGAGGGAGCAGCCCCTTCCCTCCATCCCAGCTGTGCCGTTCTTCCTGTGCCTCCTTGGGGCAGGCGCAGGTACTCACCGGGCCCAGGAACAGCAAGGAACGAAGTATCACCCCAGCATCTCTGTGCTGTTAAACAGGACAAGCACAGGATGAGGGACAGAGATGTGACACACACTCAAGGATAGCAGGTGTGCCACCTCTCCTGTCATCCTCTCCAGGTGCTTCCCAAGGCTCCCAGCACGCCGACTTCCCTCTGATCCCTGACCACAACGCTGTGCGTCACACGTCACCCCAGAGCAGCACAGCTCTTTCCCAGGAGATAAGTGGGGTTTTTCTGACTACACAAGAGCTCTCCTGAGCTTTCCCATGCTGGGAGGGAAGGTGGGAGGGAGGAGATCCGGCTTCCTCCCTGACCAAGCGCCAGCCCCGTGGGCCTGCCACAGCACTGCTGGGAATATCCAGGGGCATTATGCAATTTGCAGAGGCGGTTTTTCATGCAGCCTAGCAAGGCAGCGTCTGATAATGGCTCTCCCTTTGTTTGTAGCACACAATCGAGCTCATGATCTTCTCCCCAGTGCAGGCAGCCCACGGTGCTATGTCCTGTACTGCTGTGATGACGAGAACAGAGTTGTGCACAGGACAGGGAGCCCTGCAGCGCTTTCATCAGTGAATCACTGCTCCAAGTGCTCATTAGGCACAAATCATTAATGGTCTAAAAGGACTGGAATAATCTAGCTAGGCTCCCGGTGAAAGTGCAGTTTGTCTCTTTTTCAAGAGGCATGGGAAACCCTTCTTAAATCTGTTTTTAAACTTTGAATTTGGCTTCTGCGTAATGCCACTGATTTCATTTTTCAAAGGTCACGGGAGAATTCTCTTCTGCTATCTCCAAAGGGCATGACAAATGTTCCTGTAACAAGTAATGAATTGTTCAACACAGTGCTCTTAGCAATTACCTTGCCATAAAGGTATTTGCAGCAGGTACAGGAAGATAAACCAGTTTGCTTCCTATTGTTTTTCAAAGAGGAAAAAATTGGGGTAGGGCTGTAGCCATTTGGTGGTGAGTTTGAGGAATAAATATAATTTGATGCATTTGCTGAATGTTTTACTGGGTCTTAAAATATCCTTTCATAGATTTTAAAGCCTATTTATAGACTATCCCTTTTAGAGGTTGGAAAATGTGTTCACTGCTGTATTCTATGTACCTATTTAAATTGCATCCAAATTTAAAGTTTTTCATAACATTAATTTAGCACCTTTTCTGAATGCTTCCTCTCATGTAGTCCTTATTTACAGGATTCTAAATCATTTTCCCCAGTATCATTCTGCCTCCTGCATGAGAGCTCTTTCACATTTTGGACTCAAATTCCCTTGTAACACGGTGGGCAAAGGAGTCAGCCATGCAAGAAATTAGAAGCAAAAAGTACAGTATGTTACTGAATGCAAATCTGGGTTTGTTTGGCAGGAGGGAAACCAAGCCTGCATCACCAGCAGCAGCGTGCTGGCCTGTGGGTGAGAAGTGTCACTGCAAATCCGGTTATACAAGTGTGTGCCTGCCTCCCTGACCTCTTCCACTTGGCAGCCTTCTCTCTGCATTTTTGTCTGAGAGGCTAATGTGGGAGTGAACAGTGGGAACAAAACTGCCCCTCCAGCCCCAGGCTGAGCCCAGTGCATCCCAGTGCACATGCACTGGCTGGGTGGGGGCAAAGAGAGATTTCAATAGCTCTGGCATGTGGGTAAGTAGAGTACAGTGCAATCAGCCAAGTGTTTTTTCACCAGCCTGAAATAAAAATGAGGCTAGGGAGATGCAGCCACATTTGATGTAAAGGCTGTCTGTAATAGGCAGATGTCCATATCTACTTTTGCTGCAGAAGAGGAAGCAGTGTAACAGCTCTGTGGAGGGAGTATCCCAGGAGAACACCTATTTTCTCGGGGCTGGGGGCTGAGATATAGCCCTGGCTGGAGAGAGGACATCCATGCTGGATTTCCA